TTGTTGGCGTCTGTGTACAAGGAAGGAGTTGAGCTAGAGTAACCAGATTTGGAGGGTACTTCAGGAGTACCGTCCAAACAAATAACCCGGTGGTTGCAAATCCCGTCCGGGTCGCACAAGGGCTGCTGCAGGTGCATCAGGGTTTACATGAGCGGGGGGGGGATTTCCGCCATTTTTGGTGCTAGCAGGGCACATAGGGTATTTTTGGAATCGGGGCGACGAGACAAGATGAACGGACCGGGCCCGACCCCATCGGCCGCTTTTACAATTTGGCCAGATCAGGATCTTCAAAAAAGGGGGTCGACCGACAAAAAAAATTTTATTGCAGATTTCGATTGGTCTCAGCAAGACCTTTTCAACGAGGGGTGGGAAAGGGGGTCCAGGACCCGACTTCGTCTATTAGTAAATCAGGATCTTAAAAAAAGGGGGTCGACCGACTGAAAATTTTTACTTAAGTTTTCGATAGGTCTTGGCAAGACCTCTTCAACGAGGGGTCGGAAGGGGGGTCCAGGAGCCCACCTTCATGAGTTATGGGAAAAAGTGCGACGGACTCGTTTTGCGCTCCTGCTGTGCCTCTGTTGCAAGGAGTTGCAGTAGCATGGCAAATATGGGTATTTTCGGAATGAGGGCGAAGAGAAAAATAAAAGGGCATATTCTAAGGACAGTTGGAGTAAAAAGTGTAAGGACTATTGCATATTGTGAATAGAAGGGTGGGCCTAAGTCACGATGGTACATCGATAACTTTGCTTTACCCGCTCACGGTGTGTGGGGAGCGAGCGGGCCAAAGGGCCCCGGGTTTTGACGGGCCCAAGTTGGGTCTGGCGGGGCCGAAGGCCCGAGAAAAGGCCCCCGGCAGGCCAAGCTGGCCGGCCTCCTGTCGAACCGAGTTGCCGGCGCAGCGAAGCGGAGCTGGCAACTCGGTTCGACGGAAGGGCGGGCCCTAGCTTGTTTAACTTTTGTTTCGTAAGCATTACCATATTAGACTATTCTAGTCGTCGCCGACTGAAGAACAAGAAGAATCACAAAACCGGAAATGGCGCCGGCAACTTAACCTCACTCCCCCGTCCGAGTACATCATTTAAAAAGTTTTTCGATTCGACACTCTTTCAAAATCTATTTAGCTTGTACCAAATGCTTTTTGGCAAAGGAAAGAAGTATATTCGTTAGCATTACTCCCTTAAAACAGGCTCACTACCTACTCCCGATCTACTCTATTTCCGGTTTTGTGATTCTTCTTGTTCTTCACACTGCCAATTCAAGTGTGAGACAGTCTCACACTATTTATTTAGTGCGAACCGCGATGTCTCACGCTTACAAGTGTGAGCCACGTGTGTCCCACGCTTGCAAGTGTGAGACACGGTTTGTCTCACACTTTCGAGCTTGGATCCTGTGGCATTAAACCACAGGGAACCATAGGCAGGAAGAGTGAGACAAACCGTGTCTCACTCTTGTAAGTGTGAGACAAATGATGTCTCACACTTGCAAGCGTGAGACATAGTGGTTCGCACTAAATAGTGTGAGACTGTCTCACACTTAGATTGGCAGTGCAGTCGACGACGACTAGAATAGTCTGTTAGATTAGGAATGCACCCCAGAATTGGTGTCAAGATACAAATCCACACTCTTTCCAAATATGTTAATACCACACGGAGTGTGGCCTATGTTTACATGCAAACAGCAAATTTTCCGGTTTTATTTGGTTAGTCAAATCGAGGAGTCATATTCAAAAGATCTTTGGCCTATATGGGCGTATCTCACATTCCAATCAGTACTGTTTTATTCACTGACCTAAAATGAAAGAATGTCAAAATGTTTTGAACATGACGGAACTCACAGAATCTACCCTTTTGGCCTCCCTCTGAATTCACATGATAGCTTTTGAGACTCCATATTCAATAGGAACGGGCTAGTCTTGTGCCAAACAAGATTTTGCAGTGCAGAACGGACTGCATTCGAATCAGTTTGCTCTGCACAAAAAAAAAAACTTCTTGGATCAAGAAAAATATAACTTTTCTTGGTTTTGGCAAGAAAATTTTTCTTGATCCAATTTTTTTCCTTGACAGGAGAAAATTTCTCGTGTCAATGTTATTTTTCTTACAAAAACCAAGAAAATAAAAAAACAAGAAACCATTGTTTTGGGTGTGGGGAGGATGCCGCCCTCAACGCGCGGAATCACCCATCTTAATCGCACAAAGTCTGAACTGAACCCGTGATCCAATCCCCGATCTCAGTCCACTTACTGCAGTTACTCCGATGCATTCATTTTGTAAATATGTTAACATTACGAAAAAATACGTTGGGTCGAAATCTGAGTGTACCACCTGCACATGTTTCCTTGTCAGTGCTTCCGTTGGAACTGATTCATCTGACACGAGACGCGTAGGCCGTCATCAACCCGTAGCCATTAACGTGACTTTATGCAATTTACATGTTCAAAAACAAGTCCCCAGCCCGTCACGGCAGTCGAATCGGAAAGTTACTGGTTCTGATTCGGTGGCGCTGTTTATTTCTCCAATTGCTGTGAAAAATTTTTAATGTGATAAATTGATTGTAAGAAGTTTATCAGCCTCGCAACGTTCAGCAAGTGAGTGACAAAACAAACTACTTCCCGACGCTTGGAAACCCCTTGAAAACCAAACAGGCAGAAAAGGTACTAGTTCTGTTGCGTTTTGGTATGCCACATTCACAATGAACTCTTAAAAGATTTTTGGCTGAGTAATAGCGAAGCCCGTTACTTCCATGGGGTTGGGAAGTTTTTCGTCCTCCTTCTTTCTGAACGGGCTACGCTATCGCTCTGCCAA